ATCTCGCCATATATGAATAAAGTCTTATTATAATAAATGATAAACTTTATTAACGCATTTATTTGACTGTTAAATAAAACACTGATATAATAAGATGTTCTAGATCGATTGACTATTTATAAAAAAAAACAAACAGATCATCAATAACTATGGAAATTATTTCCGTTTGTTAGATATATTCTCAAAAAGAAAAATTGTGTTTTGTTTTTTTGTACAAATAGATTCGTGATTTACAATATGAATTGGCTCGTGTTTGTAAAGCTCATAATGATATATTACGAACATATGAAGCTAAATTACGACAATTTGGTATTCCAATTGAAGAAATTGGTTTTAAACCTTTAGAAAGTACAGTTGCTGGTCAACAATTAGGTCGAGGTGTAGCCGGTCTTGTTACAAGTCCACCATAATATGAACATTTTTATCAATGCATTGTAAAGTCTATTTTATTTTTTTTTGTTTTGAATTTCTCTCAACTTTTTATCAATTATTGTGCCTTCAGTTTTTTTTTTTGTGATTGAAATATTTAATATGAATATTAGTATCAAGTACAGCGGAAATAAATGAAATAGAATTGGTTTAATACATTGAAAAAAAGCTAATAATTGTGTATAAAAAAAAAAAAGAACAAAGCGTTTGAGTGATTGTTTATGAAATAAATTTAATTTATCTGACCAATTTGTTGCTCTTGTTGTTGTTTTTCTTCATTATTTGTTTCATTTAATAATTGTTTAATAAGATTTTTTTCTGGTGTTTCATTTTCAATATTATTTTCATTGTTTTGTGGTAAAAATTTTCGACAAAAAATAAATTTTTTCATAATTGATCTTGTAATAAATAAAATAAGAAATGGTATTGGTATAGCCATTGAAACAAGTATTGGATTTGCTAATGCAACATCAGATTCAGGTTGTGGAAATGTTAAACGAAGAAAAACAATAGCTACACCTGTATTTTGAACACCTGTTTCAATACAAATAGCTATTATTTTCTTTTTATCTCTTATTAATATTAATGATACAATTGAACCACCTATAAAACCAAACCATGGTAAAAAACAACAAGCTATTATGGATTTTAAATCGATTATATGAAATATATACATATTTATATAAACTAGAAAATAAATTATACTACATTATTATCTTGTGTGTGTGTTTTTTTTTTATATTATATTTACCTCCAAATGTAAGAATAAATACCAGATAACCTTAATTGAAAGAAGAAAATATTTTTGTTTTAATATAATTTAAAAATTTTTTACCAATAGCAATAGGATTAAGAAATCTTCCAATACGATGAGCTA